TTTCCAGTAATTTTCGCCATTGTGAACGAGTTTATATTTTTTGTCCTCGATTGAGCTCTGAAGAGCGAATAAAGATAACTGGTCAGCTTTTTTTTTTTTGTTATTAATTATTTTTCGTTTTTAAGATATTATGGTATAATAAGCTACAATAAAATGTAAACCCATAAATTATTTAAATACTTAAATTACAATATACAATATAGCATTCCCTCTCACTTTATCTCTTCGCATGTATGTCTTTCTGTCTATTTCTCCCCCTCTCTCTCTCTCTATATATATATATATATAAAATATATATATATATATATATATATATATATATATATATATATAAGGTTAGTGCAAAAATAATGACGTAAGAATGTCGTTTTTTGAGGTTAAAAATACGTCAAAAAACGACATTAATACGTCATATATTTTTGATATATATATATATATATATATATATATATATATATATATATATATATATATATATATATATATATTGAACAATAAATAAATTAAAATCTTCAGACACACTGGGTTGCAGATTAATATTCTTTCGTTGTTTTTTTTTTATTCTTTCATTTAGATTCCTCGACTAGTGTGTGTGTGTGTGTGTGTGTATGTGCGCGCATGCGCGCGCGGTTGCATGTGTGTGTAATTTTATAATAAATGAAACTTTAATATTCATCTGAAAGCAACACATCTTTAAATATTAATTCTGACGTCATCTCTGATTTTTTTCTTTTAAACGCCATATCCTTTCTGGACGTGACCGATTATTACTTTCCACAGATCTTTATTATCTGTGAATAATCCTGCATTATTGCGAAAGTTAGTGGCGGCGTCTTCTATTGCCTTGCTGTACACAGCTTGGAATAGATAGATTTCCTTATCTTAGGCTGGTTGCCGGCTATTTGACACAACTGGGTGGAGTAGAGACGGATTCATTTCTTTTTGTGTGCGTAAGTGAACGCAAGAAAATATTGTATGCCGATAATTGTTTAGCTGCTTCTTCATATCATCAAAACTAAATCCTTTCGAAATGTGAGGAATTGGTGAAGCGGAATGGCGAGATGAAGTCAGAATATCGAAATTGATTAGAGTTCCTTAATTCTATAAAATAACCTTCTTCATGGAAATTATCGGTTTTAAATTTAATTTGATTAGTGGATCTCAATCTATTTTTCACGATGCACCCTTTTCTCCATAAGTTAGAATTTCATTCCTCACTTTCCAATAGTGTCCGACTCAAAAGATGGATTCCAAATAATATGCATATATTATTGACAATCTTCATTCTTTTTCATATTAGTACGATATACATTTACATGGATTATTTATATCGAGGAGTTTTACAAATTTAATAGCGAAAGAAAATTTTGATGGATTTTTAAACTTGAATACATGTAGAGTAATTTGTTTTAATTCATAAGTAATTATTAAATAAATAAACTGAAGCATACTTCAATAAACAAAAAATGAAAAAGCAAAAATTTACCTTCTGTTCGGACACCTTTTTTCTTTAAGTTTGCAACAGGATAGAGTAGTAGCCATTTTTTTCCCCCGTTTGATACCACCTCCGCTGAAAGAAGCACGCGTTTGTCACCCACTAAAGGAATGGTTCTCAAACTTTTTTGCCCAAGGAACCCTTTTCACCATAAGTTAGAATTTCATTCCTCACTTTCCAATAATGTCCGACTCAAAAGATGGATTCCAAATAATATGCATATATTATTGAAAATCTTTATTCTTTTCCATATTAGTACGATATACATTTAGATGGATTATTTTTGTAGCTGCATAAAACACAAAAGCTATCGGAAAGAAAATCCAACTTGACTCCTCAGTTTCACGGACCGATGCAAACTACCGGTAGTGCGGCCTGGTGGAATTTGAAAGTTAATATTTTGAATCTATCAACCTGTGACCTCAATTCTCCCACCTTGAAATTCTTCCCTGGTGGGAGTCAACAGTAGTTGAGAACCTCTGGTTTAGATGTTTACAAGTCATGCATAAAAACTGAAAAACAATACTCTCTCTCTCTCTCTCTCTCTCTCTCTCTCTCTCTCTTACACCCACAGACACACACACTCTCACTTACACCCACAGACACGCACATATGATAAAATTATAGTTTGAGTTATGGTATATTTATGGGTAAAAGTACTCAGTATCGGGGATAGTGTATGTGTAAATATAAGAGTAGACAATGAGGGCAGCATCGAGTCTGTTTCATGCTGGAACGTAATCTTCAGGAAATGTATTTTAAAATTTAATCGTCCCCCATAATCATTAGGATAATACAATAAAACGGAAATATCTGACCTCGTTGCTCATACTGACTAGCATATATAAATAGTCGAACTATCACTCAACACACATGACCTAAAGATTGCGCTCAAACACACACACACACACATATATATATATATATATATATATATACATACATATATGCGTGTACATATATATATATATACATACATATATACATGTATATATATATATATATATATATATATATAATATATATAATATAATAATATATATATATAATAATATATACATGTAATATAATAAAATATATATATATATATATATATATATATATGTAAAATTTCAGATAAAGTATATCTGTAAAAAACAATATGAATCAAAACAAAAGAAAAACTTATTTTAGACGACGTGATTTTTTTTTTTTTCTCCCAAAAATCTTTAAGTATACAAATAGAAAAAATGCCGTAAGAATTTTTTGCCGGTAACAATAAAATTAAAAAAAAAAAAAAAACCCAGACGACATGCATTTAACGGATGTCAGAATTCGTTGAAAAATATATCCCTACCCCTACCTAAACATAACCCCTTTTTCGAACGTAACTAATAACTGATACAAGTTAATAATGAAAACGCTACCACCCGCTTGTCGGAATGATTGGATCTCTCTGTATCCTTGGAAACAGTGAATTAAGAATTTTCCCGTTGCCTTTAAAACTGTAAATTTAAAAAATAAGTTACTCCAAAATTCGCTTGAGGAATGTTTTCAATTTAATTACAAAATTAAATTTGAAGCTTTTAGCTTCCATTTTTGAAACATGGTTATTACTGTGTAGCGAAAAAAAACATATTTTAAATCAGTTAATATATATATATATATATATATATATATATATATATATATATATATATATATATATATGGCACATTGAGCGCTTGTTTTAATAAAATAATGTTCGATGTAAAGTACCAGAGCTATAATTCAGCATTGCGTTGTAGATGAAAGTCAGAATTGTGCTACTGGTGAGGAAAATTGCATATTTATGATTAATATATGAATATAAACATGAAGTCGGGAAAATAAGTTTTTTTTTTTGTATTATTATATTAGTTGTTTACTATTAATCTTATATTTCTAAATATTTACTTCATAATTTACTTATAAAGACAGTTTTATACTCGAGGATTGGCTGAAAAATCCATAGGCGGCCTGTGAAGGAGTTATACTAGAACAGTGAAACCTTTCATGCATTAAGTACAACTCTTTTCATAAATAAATGCATTATTTAATTCCAGGTAAACTGACTTGTGACTTTTCAAACAAGTCTTCAAAAATAAATAGTTGCGCCTTCTCTAGAAAATGAACAAAATGTGGCCCAACGAGCAGGTCACATACACAAGGTCAGCTCTATGTATAGATGTTAGTAGTTCCAGAAATTGTCCCTTTCTTTCAGCACTTCATGTCAGGAGACGAAGAAGGTTAGATACAATACACTTTTTAGTGCAATGGGGTGGTACAGCCTTGTGGGTGATCTACTGAAATTAGACATTAGTTTTTTTTTCAGTTAATAATTTATTTTGTTTAAGACTAGATATGATCATGCGATAATGACGAAATAAGAAATATAAGGAGATAAAGAAATAAGGGGAAGAGAAGAAGAAATATATTATTATTATTATTATTATTAAGAAGAAGAAGAAGAAGAAGAAGAAGAAGAAGAAGAAGAAGAAGAAGAAGAAGAAAGTAACAACTATGCTGAGAGAGAAGAAAGATCAGAACGAAAAAGAAGGTTTCTATGATAAAAAAAAACTAAATAAAAGAATGAATTTGGAGCAATATGAAGAGTTGGTTATGAAGGAAAAGATGAAGTGAAGAATTTGATGAAGGAGGAAGAAATGGAGGCTAAGGAGAAAAGAAAGTGATGATCATTTATAATGATGATGATGATGATGATGATGATGATGATGATGAAACAAAAATATGAAACGAAAAATGAGAAAAAACATGGCGATGAAGATAAAATAGGATGAGAATAAATAGAATAAAAAGATGAGCCAAAAAAATAACTGACGATGAAAATGGGTTAAAAAAAGGTGAAGAATGATGATGATGATGATGATGATGATGATAGAAGAAAAGCCGCACCAGTAACCAGGATCCAAGATAACTAGAAGGGAAGACGACGTCTCTCGAGGAAACTTCTGATCCAATGAATGCGGACGGAAAGTTAAGTATCATGTTCCCAATCGATCGAAGGTCAAAGTCCTGTGAAAAGCCCATTAAGTTTGCTGTTTGTTGATACTTTTATAACGAGCGAAAAATCCATAATCTGGGCAACAATATCGTCTACATTGACAAAGATGGACTCGTCCGCTATTCTTTCTGACCATCTTTATGCTGTTTCCCGTAAGGTGGCCCGCCAACCTCTACTCCACGTGACGATGCTCCCCTCTGACTTCACCTGTAGAGAAGCCAAACGTACCATAAAGCTTGTTAGTTACGTCATGAATTTATTAGTAAACTATATGAATTTTTGTCGTTTAGTTTGTTTTGTTTTTCTCCCTTCCTTCCTTCCTTCCTTCCTTCCTTCCTTCCTTTACAGGAAGAGAGGTTTATAATCGATTGTCTTTTCAAATAAGTCATGACGGAGTCATTTATTCGCTTAAAAGTGACATAAGGGTTGAATACCAAGTATGATAAAACACCCAAGGCTAGAGAGTTAAATCGACTCGACTATTTAATCCATAGCTGGAGAGAAGAAGAAGAAGAGGTCGAGGGGGAGAAAAAGAAGAAGAGGGGGTAGAAGAAGAAGAAGAATAAGAAGGGGAGGGGAGGAGAAGAAAAAGAAGGGGAGGGCGGAGAAGAAGAAGAGGGGGTAGAAGAAAAAGAATAAGAAGAAAGGGAGGAGAAGAAGAAGAAGAGGGGGTAAAAGAAAAAGAAGAAGAAGGGAGGGAGAAGAAGAAGAAGAAGAGGGTAGAAAAAAAAGAAGAAGAAGGAGGGAGGGAAGAAGAAGAAGAGGGGAAGAAAAAAAAAGAAGAAGAAAGGGAGGAGAGAAGAAGAAGAAGAGAGAGTAGAAGAAGAAGAAGAAGGGGGAGAAAAAGAAGAAGAGGGGGTAGTAGAAGAAGAAGAAGAAGGGGAGGGAGAAAAAGAAGAATAGGGGTAGAAGAAGAAGAAGAAGAAGAAGAAGAGGGAGAAAAAGAAGAAGAGGTAAAAGAAAAAGTAGAAGAAGAAGAGGAGGAGGAGGAGGAGGATGAAATGTATTCATACCTTTTCTATGACCATTAGGGCTAAATGAATGCAACAGATTCGGTAACAAATTGGACTCGAATCGATAATTCTACACTCGTCATCATTTATTATTCAATAAAATATACATAAAGATAAATGAAACACACAAATGGAAGAATAAATGCTGAAATAAATTAAGTTAACGGAATCATTTTAAGAATAAAACACTCGCCTCAATAGCAATTCAGGCATCACTGATTAAACTAACCTGGTCGTTGGTCTCGAAAAGGACCTCCAGTCAGTTGTTGACTGGGTCAAGAATTGGCTGGTAAACTTTAATGCTTCAAAAACAAAACTGCTCTCTTTTACCCACCACAGAGAACCCTCCTTGCCTCCCATTAGAATGTCTGATGCTCAAATCCATGAGAGCACCTCTCTGCGACTGCTTGGTCTCACAATGTCCACTGACCTGAGATGGAACAAATACATTGAATCAATAACTTCATCTAACGCAAGGAAAGTTGGTTCTATGTGTCGCGCCAGAAAGATTTTCTCGCCTGAGTCCATCCTTCAAATCTATAAATCAACCATTCAACCTTTAATATGGAATACTGATGCAATATATGATATGGAGCTACCGCTGTTCGTCTTAAGGTCCTCGACAAAATCCAGAGACGGATATGCAATGTGATTGGCCCTGATCTGGCATCTCGTTTATAGTTGCTCTCTCACAGACGAGCCGTCGCTTCCCTCTGTCTTTTCTACAAATACTTTCACGGAAACTTCTCCGATGAGCTACTTTCACTGGTTCCCAAATACATGAATTTAAACGTGCTACTAGGTTAGCATCTCAGTCCTACTCTTTCACTGTCGAAACTGTTAGATGCAGGCGTCTCTTCTACTTCTAGCTTCATGTCTCGCACTTCCTATCTGTGGAACTCCCTTCCTCTTACTTGCATCCCTGATAGCTATAATCACCAAGTATTCCAATGCAATGTCAGTCGACATCTCCAGATGCCTTGATCTAATTCCCAGTCCTTCTCTTCATCCTTTCCTCTATGACGCCTCTTTACTCTTGCTTCAACACACTGTAACCCTTTGCGTGCTAGTGGCACTCCCGCCTTGCTTAGGGTGAAACGCTTAAAAAACTCACCGAGGCGCCAATTCAATGTTCTTCTAGGAATGTATTCCATCAATTTGGTTTGCTTTGTTTTATTTTGTTTTACATCATATCGACCTCAATGGGTTATTTAATGCCGACAAGATTTTTAGGAAAGGTTCGTATGAATAGAATATGCATTCTTTGTAAGAAATCAGTTTGTAGATCAGGTTTCATTGACTTTTATTGTAAAGATGTTTTTTTTTTTTTATCGAGAGTCTATTACCAATACTTTCGTCATAGGGAACAAAGACAAATTATCTGGCCATTATCCCATGCAGTTACACGATTTGTACAATTTTGCCGTTATATCCGATATATATATATATATATATATATATACACCTAGTGAGCCAGACAAACCTACCTAGGTTTCACCTAAACGGATCGTCAGGGAAAGTTTGGCTAACGAGGCAAAGAGAAACACATATTTATAGGTGATAGCTAAAATCATACCACGTGACAAAATAAAAAACAAAAAAAAAAAACAAAACCTAAGTGGGGGGAATATTTATTCAACAACAAAAAAAAAAAAAAAAAAAACCTCAGTGGAAAAAAACGGGGAAAACGTCTAATTTAGTAGCCAAGATTTTTTTTTATGTCTACATACATTGAGAATTTCAGTTTAGAGTTTAATAGTTGGTTGGGTTGATCATATAAAGCTATGGCTAATTTCTCCTCAGCACATAATTTGCAAAATTTATGGCCTGCTTTATATTTTGGGCATTTTTTTAATATTTCCCATTTAAGGATGGGGTCTATATTATCTTGTTTGATTTTCCATACGTAGGTAGATAGCGTGGTACTATGTTTAATTTTTGCATTCTTAAAACTACTCGTGTGGTTATAATATCTTTTTTTAAATTTATCCTGAGTAGCACCTATGTATGTTTTAGGATTAGTATCCTCAGTATTTTTGTAAATTTTCACTTGATACACCACGCATTCCTGCTGGCATTTTCCCTGTAATGGACAGATGTTTTTATTTCTACAATTACAAGTAGGAGGATTACTACGTGGATCATTCCTAGTTTTTTCTTATTCAATCCATTTATAATAGTCCCTACGTTCGGCATACAACAATAAGTAAGTTTTACATTGTTTTTTGTTAAATATTTTATGTAACTCAGTTTTTTGGGAAATGTTGTTCCAGTGAATTAAAAATATCTTACCAATTTTAGTTTTTACCGCTAAATTGAAAGGGGGATTAAACCACAAAATTTGTCTTTGCCTATTATGTTTATTCCGAGTAATATTGTGGTTGTCTATATATTCTAATTTATTTTTATGTCCACTCTTAATTAGGGCTTGCTCATAACTTATTTTGTTGGCCTCAAAAATGTCCCTATTAGAGGAATTAGTAGAAAGTCTATATCCAATATTTTTAGAAATATGCCTTATAATATGGACTGGGTGATTTGATTTTATGTGTAAATACTGGGGTATATATATATAATAGGACTTGAATCCTGAAATTAATAACAACCGGTCTCTGAATTCCACTGTTTATGAAAATAAAAATATGGAGAGGAATTCAAATATATATATATATATATATATATATATATATATGTACCGGGTGTAACAACAGAATTGTCCAAATGTTACATTAAGATTTGAACCGTTGTATCTTAGAAATGATTAAAGATATCTTACTGGAATTCTCCGGGATTTTTTATAACACTACTGGACTCTGTTTTGAATCATAAGAATGTATTTAGCTCTGAGATGAAATGGTGGTCCGTCTTGCTGTTGTGACCTCCTGATCCAGTTTCTCGGCAGGGTTTTGACTAGAGTTTTCCCCTGTTTTTTTAACTTATTCACCATTCTCTTGATGGTTCTTGCATGGACTTTGAAGATGGAGGCCGGCGTAGGAATGTTTGTACCATTAGTGAAAGCCTGAATGACCTTTTTCCTCTCACCATTGCTCATTCACGAAGATAGAGTGGGGGTGACGCAAAGCGATTTTAATCTGCTCTCTTTCTAACTGAATAACTCAAAGGGTTTTTCAATGATTCTTACAACAAATGGTATCAAGATGGCTAAATGTCTTATCTGAAAATGTGGAAAAAAAACTCAATTACTTTAGTATTTTTGTAGATATCAAACATTTTGTGTGATAATCAATTATCCCATGCAGTTACACGATTTGTACAATTTTGCCGTTTACATCCGATATATATATATATATATATATATATATATATATATATATATATATAGGACTTGAATAAGTTCTCGCTGTTTTCCAACAGATGGCGTTCCCAAAACTGCGTGCATATCGTTTCATAGGGTAACGTATCTATAAGAAAGTACTATAAGCAAGTTTGAAATTCAGTGTATGCCAGTTCGCCGAAGTGTAAAGGACTTTGTTTTTATAGCGTTAAACATGTCGGATTTCGTACCAAAGAAAGTGTATTTGAGGGTATTTTTACTTCACTTTATTCAAAAGAAATCTGCAGCTGAAGCACATAGAATTCTTGTTGAGACTTACGGCAACCATGCTCTGTCGGAAACAAAATGCAGAGATTGGTTTAGAGTTTCAATCATCTCGTATATATATCTATGTTTAATATAATAATATTATCAATAACAATCATCAGGCGGAAATACGCTTAGGTTGTTACATAAGATTCTGGGTAACGAGTTTGTTATTGATAATATTATTAGATTATATTTAGGTTCTGTCGACTTTGGCATTGAAGCCTCAGTTTATTTTATAATTCAAGCTTTTATCGTATTTTAAGCTTTAGCGTTTATTCTTAATATATATATATATATATATATATATATATATATATATATATATATATATATCTATCTATATTTCTGAGATGAGGTATTATGTACAGTATTTACATTAGTCGGACTATTGTCCTCATCTTTGTTGCCATATTTATCACAACGTTTTTCGGTCGTGTTTCTTCAGGTGGTTGGAATTTCAGTTCGAAATTCCAACCACCTGAAAAACCGGGAGCGTACAACAGCCGAAACGTTGTGACAAATATGGCGACAAAGATGAGGACAATAATCCGACTAATGTCTGATATATATATATATATATATATATATATATATATATATATATATAGTTCAAGGAAGACATTTGGGTCACTAACACACAAAAAAGAGAATGTCTAATATCGAGAATATTTAACATCGAAAAACATAAAAAGAAATTAAATCCTTTTAATATGTGGAAATATCCACTCTTTGCCTGATGAAAGACGCGAGACAGTTTTTAATATATACACTTATCTCTCACTGGAACTACTATAATCCTTTCCTTTTATATATATATATATATATATATATATATATATATATATATATATAGAGTCCTAGTACTAATATGATATACATTGGGTCCACGAAGAATGATTTTAATGCTAGATGGAGGCAGCATAAGTGCTCTTTCAATAATATAAATAAAAGAAATCAGACTTCCCTATCTAAATATTTTGGCATCTGAAGGAAATAAATAGGACACCAAAAGTAAAATGGAAAATTATAAACAAAGGCTAGAACATGTCAAACTTGGGATGACCCATGCCCTTTTGTGCCTCCATGAGAAACTGCACATTATTAAGTTTCTAAATAATAATAATCGATTAAAAAATAGACATGAGTTAACGGTTTTTGTCGACATCATCAAATTCATGGTTTGAGTAATTAGCTAAAACAAGCATACAATATAATAACTTTTATAATCCATAGCCCAAATAAATAGTTTAAATACCCTACAAAAAATATATATATATATATATGTGTGTGTGTATGTGTGTGTGAATGTGTTTTTATATATATATATATATATATATATATATATATATATATATATATATACACACACATATATATATATATATATATATATATATATATATATATATATATATATATATATATATATGATAAAAATATAGTTTTAAGGTATGGGTAAAAGGTGTTGTTCATATCAATCTACCTGTCTATCTCACTATTTATCGCAGTGTTCATATCTCAGTTTGTTTATATCTCATTCTCTTCATACCTCTATATCATACTTCATACCAAATTATGCTGTCGTCCATCCATTTTTTCTTCTTTATATCTTTCTCTTTCTCTGTCTCTCTCTCCTCTCTCTCTCTCTCACTCTTTCTTCCTCATTCCCTTTTTTCATCCTCTCTTTTCTTCCTCAATTTCAGTTTCGTTCTTTTTCTTCTCTTTCTTCTTTCCTCCTTTTATTCTCTTTCCATTTCATTTCTCCTTAACGTTCTCCTCCTCTTTCTGTAGCTGTTATCTTTCATTTCTAAATTTCTCTCCCCCCACCTTTATTTATTTCCATATTTCTCTCTCTTTTTCTCTAATATATATTCAACATTTTACATTCTCTGTGCGCGTGAAATTCTACTCTGTTCTCATTTTCCCTCTCCTTAATTGTCTTTTTTCCTCTCACCCCCCTTTCTCTCTCTCTCTCTCTCTCTCTTTCTCTCTTTCTCACACACACACGCAAACCCACACACACACTTTATCTCTCTTTTGAGTGTTATCTTCGCTCATACGGGATCATTTGAAAAAAAAAACGACAGGACAAAAGAAAGCAGGAAATATCAGTTCGAATGAAGCGCTGAACTTCATTCAAGCCGGTGCCTTCACCAAGATTAACTATTCGAATTGGCATACACTTGGCCTTGGCTTTGCTTGCAGCACAAACCGATAATGGCCCAGAATCTTAAAATAAGTATAGCCTCGGAAGTTGTGCTTCTGTTTCCGGTTCAACCTATTCCGGTCGTCTTTTTACAGTGACATCTTCATCAGGAATCTGCTTACGCAGCCGTCTGTCTGTTGATTGAGAAAAATCCGCCAGACCTCTCATTGTTAAAATCACTCCATCAAATGTTGGCGTCATCATTCTTGCCTATCCCCCAATTGCTATTATCTTAAACCAGATGATCGACGCTGATTATCGAAACGAACCCGTATCGACTTACAACAATTTAAACACCATACATTTTATAATTGAATATTCTTTCTTAAATTTTAGAGATGGCGTTTAGGCTGCCATATCCACCAAACTTCAAATAGGTGTATTGTTCTCATTTATAAGAAAATAATCTTCATTTGGTTTGGTTTATTTTGTTTTACGGCATATCAACTTCAATGGGTTATTTAATGCTGACAAGATTTTTAGGATAGCTTCTTATGAATAGAATATGTATTAATAATTTTCTTTTTCAAAAATCTATTGCCAGTAAATTTTCTTTTCTATTGCTGGTAATATTTTTTTTCAAAAATGTATTGCTGGAATTTTTTTCTTTCAAAAAATTTATTACTGATAATATTTAAAAAAAATTATTGCTGGTAATATTTTTCAAAAATTTATTGCTGGTAATATCTTCTTTTTCAGAAATATATTATAAAATATTTTTATTTTCTTTCAAAAATATATTTCTGGTAATTTTTTTAAAAAATGTATTGCCGGTATATATATATATATATATATATATATATATATATATATATATATATATATATATATATATATTTCGTAAGTATATTGCTGGCAATATTTTTCAAAAAATGTATTGCTGGTAATTTGTTTTTTTTTTTTCAAAAATACATTATTGTTAATATTTTTTCCAGAATTGTATTGCTGGATTTTTTTCCAAAATGTATTAATGGTAATATTTCAATCTTTCATAAATATATTACTGGTAATATTTTTTTTTTCAAAAATGTATTACTGGTCATATTTTTTTCAAAAATTTAGTGCTGGTAAATATTTTGTTTCAATTTTCCTACAATGTATTGATATTAATATTTTTTTAAAAAACTGTATTGCCGGTAATATTATTTTTTCAAAAATGTATTACTGTTAATATATTGTCTTCAAAATTGCATTGCTGGTAATAGTATTGTTATTTTTCATAAATTTATTATTGGTAATAATTTTGTTTAAAAATATATTGCTGGTAATATTTTTTCAAAAATGTATTGCTGGTACGTTTACTATAAAAATGTATTTTTATATTTACATGGTGTTTTCACCCCATTTTGGGGTTAACTTTTTTTCCATAGCTGGGGCCCTAACGGGTGCTACCACCACGAGTCATAGTACACCTGGGAATAACTACAATGCGTTACATTATTTTTTTTCTTCCGTTAAGTTGTGGAGCGGGGGAGGAATATTTCGTTGTGATTCACATGTCCATTTGTTTTTAATCAGTGTTTAGACTTGGTCATCATCAACGACTGCATTAGTGTCGGAATATTCTGGGATTGCTAGCTAAAAACTATCCACTTCTGTATCTACTTACAAACAGTATTCATGGTACCATCTTCATAAATGGTACATATCTGTTTTGCTGACTGAGGACCTTTTGTTTTCTATTCCAAGAAAAAAAAGCCATCCAATAACAAAAATGCATTACAATTTCCCTCGTTTTTGCTTTTAAAATAAAATAAAAAATCCAAAGAAAAATCTGCAATGTTATTGATCCTAACCTGGCATCTCATTTTCAATCGCATTCCCATCGCCGTAATATAGCTTCCAGTGCCTTTTCTAGAAATAATTTAATGGTAATTAGTCTGATGACCTTTCCTAGATGGTACCTAGATTTTATGAATTTAAGTGTAATCCTGGATTAGCGGCAAGTCTCATTATTTTACAATCGACGTGGTGAGATGCAACCGTAAGTTCTATGCTAATAGTTTCTTCTATTGCACTTCTCGCTTGTGGAAATATCATCCAGATTCTTGCTTCCCAGTCAACTTTGATCTAAGTGCAATATCAATCATTAACTTCTGTCTTCTTGATTCATGTCCTTTTATTGTTCGCTCTCCTTAATATTTTTCTTATATTGTTTTACATTCAGTAACCCGTTGCGTGTCTTTATTGATTTGCTTGTGTTGAAATAATTAAAAAAAACATTTCAATTTTACAATCCATACACGAATAGTATAGTTTTGTGATGTCAACGAACACTCGTTGTCACTTTTGGGATGTCAACGAATATTCGTTGTCACTTTCGTTATGTTTGTTGTAGTAGAGACTTTGCAATCGAAGATACAACTATAGTAATGCCGTTGAACAATATTGTGATCTGAATAAAGAAATAGTCTAGTGAATAGAGTAGAGAATAGCAGTCCGTATAATAATAGAGGATAGGCTAGAAATGGCGATCAATTAGACATCACACTACCTTCCATATATGCGTTTCCTCTATGGTCACGTGGTCTACTTAATTCAATAATGGGATCGCCTGTGTTTGCTCACTGGCGATCTATGTTCAAACTCAAATGTCGGCAGCGACACTTTATTCTTATATAACATATCGAAATACCTTTCAAAATATGTACCTTTATCATATATTTCACTCACATGTGAAATAAAATCACCTCATGCCATTAGAAAATGGCTGTGAGTATTCGATGTTCATTCAAAGAAATTTATCAATCAGCGTCTTCGTTTGGCATCTCCCGACAAGGATTGAATTCACAACTTTCAAGGAACTTTTTTTTTTATAAGTTGCATTGTTACCATTGTGACGTCCGGTGTCCTTTAGAGGGAATCTCAGAACTGCATCAGCGAATCAGCAGTGCCAACTTTGCTCTGCTAACTCTGTTCTTAGTAATATTCTTACCCTAAGATCTACTCTCTGCTCTTTCTTTACTCTGCTATATTCCAATCATCCGATCAGTAGTCCAATCATAGAAATGAGCACCAGTCAGCGAAGAAAAGAAAACAGATTAAAAACATCAGAACATAACGATTATCTCTGTCTTCTGTGATGCTATGACTGGAAAACCCGTATAGAGGAGAAAATTTTGATTTTAATTCAATCTCAAGATAAAATCTTTCAACTCAGTTCCTCTAAGCTGCATCCACCTGATCGAACGGGAACAAACAAATAAATAAACGAATAAATAGATGTAAACTTTTGGCGTCAAGTGACAGCAAAACCGGACATCGAGAATTCCAGGTCACAAATCTGTATTTACAGTCATGGTTGGGATTACAGACGTGTTATGACCTGCCAGTGATGGACAAATTGTCCCTCGGGTAATACCCGATGCCGCCCGCCGTTTGTGTTGTCAGTTACGCGTCGCGATGGACGGAGAATTCATAGGAACTGATATGACGAAGGGGAGAGCTGATCTGGTAGAGTATGACATGGCAAAAACTGTACCAAGTTTTACCTACCTACCCACACTGACCGAGCAAGTGAAGCACTGAATAAACACCTAAAGATATTGAAAACAGGATTCGAATCGCCATTTCTCGCCGTGACTTTTGTTTTCATCTTTCGTTTCCCCTCATTTCCAAATATCTACCCCCACCTCCACAAAAAAAAAAATCTCATCGCAATTCACGTATATTTAAGAAAAAATATGTGTAGGACACTAGTCGACTGAAGGGGCATAGTATTCAAATCAAAGTTAATACTTATTTTGTAGTCTTTGAAATAAAAACTGTAGAGTTTTAAGGAATAACAGAACAAAATCTGAAGAACAAGAAAGGTGTAGATTTTTTCTTTTTTTTTAATTTTAGATAACGTCCTTAGATATAATCGCTTCAGTATAGCACCATGTATTATCACGATGGGATATCACACATCAAACTTATTTATTTCAACATGTGCGTCGTGGTGTAATAAATAACAGCCCTAGACGAGAGCCGAGTTCGAATTCCAGTCGAATTCGTTACATTCGAAGACGCAAATAATCTTAGGAAAGGTATAAATCCACCTCTCCAACAGCTATGAGTTGAATAAAATAGCCTTGGAAACGGCAACCTACTGCGAGAAAATCTTCTGCTTAGTCAATCATCGGAATTTTCAAAGCGTGTTTTAGATGTGGCGCAAGGCCGAAAGTCTGGGATACCCAGTGGGGATCGAACTCACTATTCAGTCGTAATTGTTCTAGCGAGACAAGCTTGCTAACCATTACACCACGTCGAGGTGTCCCTACCTAGTCAGTCATGAATCGAAAGAGACATGATCGCCCCAGCGTGTATCATGTATTGCACTTACCTGACTGATTTATTTCAACGGGTTATTAAGCTCGGACCTGCAATTTCAGTCAATATATTTCAGAATAACCATTAAATATCTAACATTGTTCACACGCACTGAAATCATTTATTTATATAATTGTTTCTTTGTGTCACTCTAAAGGCTGAAGAATGGCTTGGTTGAAACTTCGGCAGCAATTACACAAAATAATCGTTTCGACCATTCAAACTATGTTGGTTATATAGAATTAGATATACA